CATGTGCTTATAGTCTCCGCTACCGGGGAGGCTGAGACAGGGAGATCCTTTGAACCTAAGGAGTTATCTGTCAGCTTAGGCAACACAGTGAGACCCCATGTATTAAGTTAAAGAAAAAAATCTGTACTAGAAATTGCAGACTGGCAGTCCTTAAATCCTTTTGGCTCACAGATATTATTTGGCTTTCTCACAACTGCCTGTAATTGAGTAGTGCCTGCATCACATAAGGAATGTGGCTTCTAATTTGCCATAGTTCATACTGCTCCCTGTTTTTTACTCAGCAGGCTCAATTTTGGCTACCATGGCACTGTGATTTTTTTCCCCCTATGCTTAGCCCCTTTCTCAAGGTGTAGTGAGAATTTCATGATAATAGACTGAATTTAAAAGTTATAAAATTGCTAAAGACATTTACTTTATGACTTTTTAATGTGGTCATTTTCTTAACAGTGTCTTCATTGGTTACTCTGGCATGGAGCTGATATTACACAAGTAACTACAAGAGGTTGGACAGCAGCTCACATAGCTGCAATCAGGGGTCAAGATGCTTGTATGCAGGTAATAACAACTTTGGCTACTCTTTTTATTTTTTAATTCAAGTGAGCTCAGTTTTGTTAGCATAGTTCTGTTGGGCTATTGCTGTGATTCTGTGACCCAATAGATGTAATTTTATTGTCTAAATAAGAACTTACTAAACTCCAGTTTGCAGATTTTGATACCAACTCTACATTTAAACAAATGATATGAGACCAGAAGTCCTTGAATTTCTTTTTTTTTTTTTTTTTTTTTTTTTTGTCTTTTTCCTTTTTATCAGTACCGGGGATCGAACTCATGACTGCCTGCTTGCAAGGCAGGCGCTTATGCCGCTGAGCTAAATCCCCAGCCCCTTGAATTTCTTAATTAATTGAATACTAGGGTTATTTTGAGAGACACCACAGTCGTGTCCAGACTATCTGCTTTGTAGTGTGCTGCTGTAGTCTAAATGTTCACAGTCTCCCAAAACAAATATGTTGAAATCCTAACCCCCAAGGTGATGTTATTAGGGACTAGGCACTTTGGGGAGGTTAGTAAGTCGTAATATGACTAATTCCTTTATAGAAAAAGACCTCAGAGCCAGATGTGGCACACATCTGTAATCTGAACTCTTGGGAGGCCAAGGCAGTAGGCTTGTTGTGAGCTTGGGGCTGTCCTGGGCTATAGAATGAATTCAAAGCCAGCCCGAACTGCATAGTGAGACACTGTCTCAAAAAGAGAAAAAGAAATTTAAAAAATATTAGAGAGACCTCAGAAAGCTAGTTAGTCTTTTCATCTGAGGATGCAGTGAAAAGTTTCTGTTTATGTGGAAAAGGCCATTATCAGACATAGACTCTACTAGCCCTTTGATCTGGGACTTAAGCAACTAGAACTGTGTGAAATAAATTTCTCCTATTTATTAACTTTCCAGTTTGTATATTTGCAGTCTCTGTTTTTCTTCAAATATTATTTTTTATTAATACGTTTACAGTACGTAATGATTACATTCCTTGTGGGCAGTTGGCACATGTGAATAACATGTCACTTCATTTTTCATCCCCTTTCCCTACTGTCCCCTCCTCCTTCCATCTCTTGGTCCTTTCCATTTGCAAAAGATCTATTTCCCTACTTCCTACTATCCATCTTTTAGTTTGCTCTACATTTATATTATAGGTCTTTCATATAAGAGAAACTGTGCAGTATTTAAGTTTGTGTATGTCATTTATTTTACTTCAAAGTATGGACTCAAGGTGTATCCATTTTCTTCTACATGATTCAAGTTTGTCTTTCTTTAAGGCAAAACAGTACTCCATTGTGTATAAATACCACGTTTTCTTCATTCATCTGCCATTGCACATATAGGCCACTTCCAAGATTTATGTGTTACGAATTATGCCACAACAGGTATATATATCTGTAGTATTATGTCTTTAACTCTTAAGAAGATACCTAAAGGGGAATAGCTGGATTGAATGGAACTTCTAGTTTTAGTCTTCTGAGGAATCCCCATACTAATTTCCATAATGGTTGTACTAGCTTACCTTCCCATGAACATTGTAGAAGGGTTCCTTTTCCCCTCATAGCCTCACCAGTATTTGATTTGATTTTTTTTTATGATAGCCATTCTTTCTCAAGTGAGATAGAATCTCAATTTTGTTTTATTTTTCATTTCTCTAATGACCAGAGATGGTGAATTTTTTTCATGTATTTATTGACCATTTGTAATTCTTCAGAGAAATGTCTGTTCTTTGTATTTACCCATTTTTTGGGTAGATCTTTTATTTTGGGGAGTCTAATTTTTTTTTGAGTTTTTTATACTTGGTATTAGTCCTCTGTCTAAGGAGTCAGAACTTGTATCTGGCCTCTATTTTGTAGACCTAAAGACCTTTTATAGTGACTGTCTCTAGATTATATAAACCTACAAAGTTAGTTTATATGCCAAACGTGTATATTACAATTCTTACTTTATATGCCAAACGTGTATATTACAATTCTTATTTTATACATATACAAACTTACAAAGTATGTTTATATTACAATTCTTATTTTATATATATTCATAACTATTTGATAAGCTACGTCTTTATCTGAGGGGCATTTAAAAGTGCGATAGAATAATATAATGGGACTATATTAAGAGAGGCTGAAGGATACACTTTTGGAAGAGCTAGTAAGACTGGGAATCAATGCTTTATGACTGTAAGTTACAAGTGCAGCTGGAGACTGTCAGTAGAGACCAATGCAGTGTTTGGATTTCTCCTTTTATATCTAGCTTAGTTTTTGGCTTAATATTTTTATGACTCTTTAAATATCTTATTTTTCCTTTAGTTATACTGTCCTGCTGGGAAAGAGTTAGACCCCTGTGAAATAAGTCAGATACAAGCTTAAATATAGTATGATTTCTGTTATATAAGAGACCTAAGATATAACTAGAGAGAAAAATGAAAGACGAACAATGGGAAATAGGGAGATAGATCTTTTGCAAATGGGAAGGGGACCAAGAGATATGGGGGAAGTATAGGGAAGAAGGGAATGAAGAAAGAATTGAGATGTGTTATATACATGTACCAACTCCCCATGAGGAATGTGATCACTATATAGTGAAAACATACACTAATAAAAAATAAAAATTGAAAGAAAATCTGTCTATTTGTTAAGGTCAGTTAAGGGTCCTCATGGACCCTTATTCCTCATTGGGATTGTGAGCAGAGCCTCTCTTACTTAGTTCTTCCAGTTTTTTCTCTACTAGTTGTGTCATTTGCCAGGATGGATCATGGTCTTTGCTTGACCGCATAGCTTCCCTTGGAAGCATGGGGACAGTCTCCTCTTTTGTGACCCTCCTTTTTTAATTTTTAAATTATATATATATATATATATATTTAGTATATATCTCATAGTTTATACTCTATATATTATATATACTATATATAAATATATAAAAATTATTATACACACACACACTCCTTAATATATGGTCTTGCTGTGTAGTTCAAGCTGGTCTTGAACTCACTATATAGGCCAGGCTGACCTCACACTCATAGTGATCCTCCATCACAGCCTACTGAGTGCTCTGATTACAGGTGTGTGCCACTGTGCCTGGCTGTGACACTCTTTTTAGGACAATGTGCACTAGTTAACTCCTGTTCTCAGGGGTCCAACAATCACCCTGCTTGGGATGCTGAGTGACTCACCAGAGTTGTAGAATCCTTTTAGAGAGGTCCCAATACTGGCTGTTCTTTTAGCTCATCTACCTTTCTTAGTTTTGGCATTTTGCATTTATGCATGGGACCCATTTTTTAAAAGAGTGTGAGATCTGTGTATAGAATCATCATTTTGTTATTTTGTTTTGTTGAGACAGGGTCTCATCATGTAGTGCAGGCTGACCTTGAACTTGCTTATGTAGCCCAGGCTGGCCTGAAATACAGTGATATTCTTGCTACACCCTCCTGAGTGCTGGGATTATAGGCATGCACCACTGCTCCTGGAAATTCATTGCTTTTATGACTGAATGTCCAATCATTACAGTAACATTTATTGAAATACTCATTTTTCTCCATTTAACTCTTTTATTCTTGTTAAACTACATTTGAGTCTATTTCTGGACTCCATTCTGTTCCATTGATATATATGTATATTTTGGTCAATATCTTACTATTTTGATTATTGTCACCTGTTAGTGAGTCTTAAAGTTGGATAGTATCAGTCCTCTGGGTTTGTTCTTTTCCATCAGTATTGTGTTTGATATTTTGGATCTTTTGTCTACCTATATAAACTTTTAAGTATTTGTTCATGTTCTTAAATTGCTGAAATTTTGATTGGGACAAATAATTCCTTTAAGTCTGTTACTCTGTATATTTTATATACATTGTGTGGTGTATATGATATAATACATACACAGAAACTAGGCCATTGGAATTCAGGTGAAACCTTAGCAGCTTAATCTGGAGCTTAGAGCCCTTTAATAATTAAACTCTTTATTGAGTTCAAAGCCCAGTTAATAAAAGATTATGCTTTTGAAATACTGAAAGTTTATGTTTCTTTTACTAGTTCAGCAATGAATTATTTATCTTAGTGGTTATTAATCTGTTTTGAAAACTGTGCCTTAGAAATTGTGTATCTATGCTTAAATTGGACTGTAAAATCAGGTACCACAAACATCTTTTACAACATGTGAAAAAGGCATCACATATTTTATTAGAATTAGCTAGCTGGGCATGATGGTGCATACCTGAATCCCAGAACTCAGGAGGCTGAAACAGGAGGATCTCTGTGAGTTGAAAGCTAGCCTGTGCTACAGTGAGTTCAAGGCCAGCCTGAGCTAAATAGTGACACTGTAAAAAAAAAAAAGATTCACTAAGATTGTCTCATGTAGCACATATATAAGGACATAAATAATAATTTAGTTACAGGTTAATCAATTTCTTACTTTTCTATCTATAGTCATAATTTAATATTTGTACTCAAACTCATTCCCATTTCTCTATTTTTAGGCTCTTATAATCAATGGAGCAGATCTGACAACTCAAGATGATCGTGGATGTACTCCTTTACACCTTGCTGCAAGTCATGGTCATTCTTTCACTTTACAAACAATGCTCAGAAGTGGAGTGGTGAGGGATGCTTGTTAATATGTGATAGTGTATAATTATGTAGAGGTAAATAATGTGTAATCAGGTGGTTGGTAAACTAATGATCTCGTCTTGACTTTTAAAATCTCTGCATGACTCTGGGAAAACAATTTAATTTTTCCTTTTAGCTTGTAAATATGGGAGAAATTATTCAAATAAATATCACCTCCTAAGTGGTTTAGTGGTACAATGTATTTCATACTTTGGATGTGTATTTGTGCACTCATGAATGTGCACCTGGTCATAGTCTAACTGGGAAGATTACTAATCTTTTAAACACATTTTAACTAGGTGGTTGTAAATTTTGGGGGGGGGGTACTGTGGATCGAACTCATGACCTCATGCCTGCCAGGCATGTGCTTATGCCACTGAGCTAAATCCCTGGCTCATGTAAATCTATATAAAATTCTGTTTGTCTACAAATGTATTTCTTTTGAACATCTTATTTTGTACAGTTTAGGAAGTTATTTCCACAAAATTTTATTTATTGAAATATATTTTTAAAAATTTTTTATTTTATTTTATTTTAAAGAGATTAAGACAAAAGAGGACATAACAAAGCAGATCAGAGCAGAACAATGTAAGCAACATGGCACTTCACCACAAGACATTAACAGTGTATTAACAGTAGTTACCATAATGTCTCTTTCTTTGAAATAGTTTAGCATACTTTCACATACAATAGAATCACACATAACAAAATAGTATAAAACCATTCAAGAGAATGAAAGTATTATAGGGCATTCAGAACCAAATAACAGAAAATGCACAATGGATACTATATTATCTCATTTTCCATAAAAAATTTGTTTATGGGAGAACACAGCAGATAGATAACAGCAGCTATGGAGGCTCTCTGAGATAACCAGCTTAGAATCCAGGAATGGTGTGGTGCGAGGCGTCCTAAGCAAGGGGAGATAATACCCTACAAACCCAGGAATGAACTAAGCTGAGAGAAACAAACTGGAAATGCAATCCTGGTGCTATAACCGGAACAGATAAAATCTCAGCACAGAAGGTGGAACCCGTGCTTCTGGAAGCCGCGATTTCAATTTCCTGCTGCCACTCTGTGTGCAAACGGGCATAACAGGGAGAGAGACCCATGAAAGCTTGGAGAGTGGGAATCAGCGAATGGAGTTGAAAGCAGGACTGGCGGGGAGCCCTGCATCAACCTGTGGTGAGTGACAGGAACGGGTCCCTTCCATAGACTACGAGTCTCCAAAAGAGTACATTCTGGGACCCAGCAGACAAGCCAGAATAGGACATTGCAATGACTTTAGTTGCATATTCCCCTCTCAAGCGGGATTGGTGCGGAGCACTTGGCCTGGGTGATGCCACAGACTAAGACACAGTAGGCTAGCCCAAACCAGTCCCAGCACCTGGCAGTGCACCCTAGCAGTGAAGCCTTAAAGTAGGTTGACTGACCTGGAGGATCAGGCCCAGCAGAAGCTGCCCAGGTCTGTGTCTCCCTAGTACACTACAGTGGGTGGGAACACCTAGCCAGCACAATTCAAACAAACTGTAACCGACAAAGAAAAAAACTGGGCCTCCTCTATACGCTTCTATGGAAGGAACAAAAAGTATGGGAAGAGGGAGCAACAAGAAAGGGTCCTCAGTCCCCAATCCTGAGAACACTGATCTAGGAAAGGTAAATGCAAAGGAGAATGAGGACAGAAAAATGCGATATCAGGCACGGCACCAATAGACATAAAGTGATATCTCTGGAGCCTCATAGACAAGTTCAAAAGTGAAGTATTTAACGAAATAAAGTAAGATATAAGTAGAATAGTTAGAGAAATGCTAAGCACCTCTCAAGAAAAAACAGATGGTAGAATGGAAGAACAGAAAAAAAGGGAGAATTGTTTGATGGAGAAAATAGAGAAAATATAGAATATGTGAAGCAGGCTCAAAGAGATTACCAGGAAACTAAAAACTCCATCAAAAGCTGGCATAACAGCTTGAAAGAAACTAAGGATAGATTATCTGAACTGGAGGGCAGATTTGTAATGTGGGAGCATGAAATGAAAAACTTCTTAAAAATAACAAGAAAACAAACATCAGTAATACAAAGGCTAGAAGATGATATAACGATCTATAACTTAAGAATTAAGAACATAAAAGAAGAAGTAGGGACACAAACAAATGAACTACAAAAAACAGAAATAATCCAGGAGAATTTCCCTAATTTAGCAAAAGGTAAAGATACTCAGATGTATGAGGCATACAGGACCCCAGCCACCTACAACTCAAACAGAGCTACACTCACACATATAACAATCAAAATTCCAGAAATCCAATATAAGAACAGAATATTAAAAGCCATCAGAGACAAGAAACAGATCACTTACAAGGGAACACCCATCAGAATTACAGCAGACTTCTCGGCACAAACCATCAAATCACGAAGAGCATGGGGGGGAAATAATTCAAGCTTTGAAAGATAATAACCTCCAGCCAAGATTGATATATCCTGCACAACTGTCCCTAGAAATTGATGAAAAAACAAGGCGCTTCCAGGATAAAGAGGAGCTGGGGGAATTTGCAACCACCAATTCAACTCTACAGAGAATACTGCAGGATATTCTAAAAGAGAAAAATACCAAGATTCCAGAAACAGTGGCAGAGAGGTCACAATGAATGGAGCAGAAAGCGAGATGAAGAATACAAACTGACAACTAACAACAGAAAAAAAGCTCAACAGAAATGAGGCAGAGAAGGTTAGATGGTAGGAACAGCTATTTTGGGGAAAACAAGACATCATAATAGCTAGTGCTGATTTAGTATCATCTTGTTTTGAAGTCCCATCAAGCTTTTATTCTTCTGTCTCCATCGGTCTTAACATGTTGCATTTTATTGGATTTTATTATATGTGATAATATAAATAAAAACTTAGACAAGGAGATAATACAGAAACCGTTGCTCATTTTTTGTTAGTTGGTTCTAGGTACCCTGTGATACTGACATTCTCTTGAACGGTTTTACATTGTCTTGATATGCTTAGTGCTACAGTATACGAAGTTATACTCAAAGATTTCAAGGAAAGAGGCACTATGGTAACTACTTTTATGTCAGGATATCTTGTGGTGAAACACTGTTTTGCTTAAATGGTTATGTTTTGACCTGCACTGGCTTGTTGTTATGCCCTCTTCTATCTCCATCTCCTTTTTAAAAATTATTTACTTTTTTATTTTTATCTTTTTAATTAAGGGAAAAATAAAAAATAACAGGATATATTATAGTAACCCACTTTTATTTCCTATTAACTTGATTTGAAACCCTGTATTGCTCTCACCATCTTGTTTTGGCTGATTTTCCCCTATTCTGCTTTGCTTGATAGTTACCAAGTTCGAAAGTATAGGCAACAACTGTGAAGACAATAAGATTCATTATGATGCCCATTCTGGTTGACTATTATCTTCTTTTGACTTCCTGTAATGTCTCCAATGTTTTGGTTTTATTCTTTACTGTTTTGTTCAATTTTATTATAACTAATGATATAGGCAATTCTTTTTAATATAGCAAGAGGCAGTATGGTAACCATTGTTGATCATCTTGTATTTTGTTTTTACATTATGTATTGGGTCCATCCTTTTGATTTGACTGACTCTGTCCTGTTATGTCACATTTGGTTTTATTCTCTTCAAAAAAAAGTATTAAGAACTGTGGGAGTAATAAAACCCAAAATGTGTAATTGTCATTGTACAAAAGAGAGGAAAAGAAAGTGCTCTAAAGGATATAACTGCATGTATATTTAAGTGTATAAGATAGATAACCATATTACTGAGTTTTGTTGGATCATTGAACACAACTGTTTGCAGTCTGACTGTTTGAAAGTCTACTTTATATGCTTTAATTTTGTAACTTGAACAACTACTTCTAAAATGGCAATATGTAATCTATTAACTAGTGATTTCCTACTGTTTTTTTTTAAAATTCTGTATACCTTGTACCCTTTTTCTGTTTTGTCTTCTTTTTTTCCTTAAATAAAATTTAAAAAAATTTGTTTATGCTATCACACATATTAAAATCCAGTAAGACACAACATGATAGAATCAATGGAAACAGAAGAACAAAAGCATAGTAGAACTTAAAGGCAAGATGATATTAAATCAACATTGGCTATTATAATGTCTTGTTTTCTTCAAAATAGCTGTTCATACCATCACAGACAATAAAATCAAACAAACCAGGATGTAACCATTCCAACTAATGAATGAAAACATTGTAAATCTTCAAAGCAGTGTAATGGGGAATCATGATTACCATAAATGCTTATGCAGTCTGACCATTTCTTATACTAGGGAGACTATATGGTATTTATACATGTGAGTTTGATTTATTTCACTTGTGAGTATGGTCTCAAGTTGTGTCCATTTATCTATAAATATCTCAATGTGATCATTCTTTATAGCTGAGTTGTACTCCATTGTATGAAAATACTACTGCTATAAACATAGGTGGACATATATCACTGTGGTATGATGTTATCAGTTCTTTGGGGAAATGCCTAGAAGTGGAATAGCTGGGTCAAATGGGACTTGCAATCCCAGCTTTTTGAGGAATCTCCAGACTGATCTCCACAGTGGTTGCACCAGTCTACACTCCCACCTACAATGCAGGAGAGTTCCTTTGTCCCTACAGCCTCTCCAGCATTTGTTGTTGGTAGTTTTCTTGATCCTGGCTGTTCTTTCTGGAGTGAGATGGAATCTCAGTGTTGTTTTAATTTGCATTTCTCTAATGACTACTGATGCTGAACATTTTTTCATGTATTTACTTGCCATTTGTATTTCTTCATCTGAGAGCTCTGTGTATTCATCTCAGATGCCCATTTTTGGATTGGGTCTTTGAATTTCAGGGGTCTGATTTTTCTTAAATTTTTTGTATGTTCCAGGCAGAAGTCCTTTGTCTGAAGGACCGTTCACTAAGATTTTTTTCCCAGTTTGTGGGTTTTCTTTTCACTGTGCTGGAGATTTCTTTCAACA